GGATTACGGGATGTAAAATTTTTATTATTTATTTTTATTATTATTATTATAACGACAAGTGATTTTTATATTTTCGGAGTAATTATTTCATTTGTTAATCGAGTTTACCCTTTTCTTCAACAAGAAATGTATTTGTTATTTCAATTTTTAAAATTCTAAAATATTGACAAACGTTGAGTAGGGTGTGGGCTACGAATTACCCCCCGACCCCGCTGGAATATTCAAAACCAATAATTCGTTCTCGTTCAATTACCATAACTCGACGTTTTAAATTGCTTTTAACCGGTAGCCAGGCAGTAATGGCATTAAGTTTGAATTGGAACACGTTAAAATCGCCTAACTAGGAAGCCGTTTTTCCGAGACAAGCAAAAATAATCGCCGTCCGCATTTGATGAAAATAAAGCCGTAATTATTGGGTAAAAACACATTTCCCAACGTTTTGCCATTACACGTTCGGTTTAGAAGGTGCGGCCGCATGTATATATAGAGTTGAAGAAAATGATGTCACGCCATTTTACAAACATCCACTATACATAGGCCGCCATTAATAATAACGTTAAGGCCGTACATTTGCAGCAATTGCATGTAATAAATTAAAAATTACGCAACTATCTGGATTTGGGCGTATATATACGTGTTTTAATCGCCGCTTTCCCTAATCTTTAGCAATTTTCAAAATTTTGGTTTTAATTTTTCTACACGTTTGTTCGCGATATTAACGGTTTCCACACGTTTCTAAAAATTGAACCAAAACTTGGGTTTGTGTAAAATATCTGGTAAATTTTTGATGGTTTTTCTAATACATTAAATGTAGTTTTTTGGTCATAAATTTGTCTTAAGAACAAATTCCCGTAGGGTTTAAAAAAATATATCCTTGATAATGCTAACTTTACGCGGAAATTCTGGATATTATTTTATAGGTTAGGTGTACCTTTTATGTCGTAAAAGAAAAAAGTGTCCCGGAGCCTTTTTCTAAAAAAAAATCCTCGGCAATGTTGCATAAGAAAATTGACATTATCTTCCTTAAAACTTGCAGTTTCTGAATATTCTATTTATAGATTAAGTGTTTTTTTTTTGTAAATTTGTGATGACGCATATAACATAAAATTCCCTTTAGACTGATATTACTAACTACAGAACTCTCTAAAAATTTGCAATTTTTAGTTCATAGGTAGTCCTTTAAGCCAAAATTTTACTTACCATATTGGCAAGTTTTAATGTGAGTAATTCTTCTCATGCAGCGGTTCTTTTATACCTTGGTCTCCCTTTATCCATTTTATCAGGTTCGAATAAACCTTTTTCACCAAGTCTTTCTGCGGATGTTGACGAATGTTTTAGCAGATGGAACGTTGGGATAATCCTCAATATAAAGCCGTCGTGCTTGATCTGTATTTCCATTTGCTCTTCCATAGCAAAATTGCATATCGCCACCATTATTTTACCAGGATGACTCTTTCCTCCAAATTTCCGAACACCCTGTATAAAACATTAAAAATTGCCAAGTGGTAATGTTAGTTTCCTTCATGAAGAGGTTTCATTGTGACTCCATAATGACAAGACCTTCATCTAAGGTTCCGAGCAGATTAATGTCTAATGACGTCATTGGAGAAAGACTTTCGTCGCCATTTTTTAAAAGTCCGTTCTCATTTAATGCGGACCTACACAAAAATTTGCCCAAAAAGTCCGAGTTCAAATTATTACCTTCCGGAGAAAAACAAAAAAAAAAAGACAATGATTTCGTCCTATCCTCGTTAAGTCGTTCCAGAAGAGAGGACGACTCGGAGGCGGACGTCCAACTTATTTGCAGTTGACATCGCAATCGCAAAATTTCCGCCCTCGACAACCTTTTTTTTTTTTTAAACTCTCGCGAAGTCGTCACGGGTGACGCTCGATTAAAGTTTTATTATCATCGAGGGTCGCTGAAAGAGGGCCCTCTTCGTTAATTCGGACTGCATAATAAACGAGTTTTCACCGGAAATAAAATTTTCGTCCAACTATGAAAGTTCTTTTTTTGCCATTTGCATTTTCTCGACGTTTTATATTGACAAAAAATTGGAAGACCGCAGTGTAAAAAATATACAAAACCAGAAATTATTCTATAATGATAATTGCGATGTCGAAGTATATTTTATTGTCCACTAAAATATATTTATTATTGACAACACAATAAAATAAGACAGTGCCTATATGTATTATTTTATCACAAATAAAACCCAAGAAATTGAAATAAAATGTTAAAACAAATAAATATATATGTCAAGTAAGAATAAAAGTTGTAGATCGGGGATAATACATAATTATTCGAAAAAATTGTCTACACAATAAAACGCCTGTCCTAGCAGAAAATTTAGTTTTTGTTCTTTTCTAAACCATTTTGGTTCCCAACAATGAAACTATTAATTATTAACATCAGTAAAATCGATATTGCATAATTTATCGCTTTGATTTTGGTTGGTGTTTTGTCTAATACGATAAGGTTAAGAATATTTACAGTCTAATATATTTTTTTTAGTGCGTAATTTTCTGATGTACAATTACCAGTTTTCTTGTGTAATAAGTACATTTACTTCTTGTAATTTTGCAAAAATGTGGTATGACATGGAAAAAATGCCACCGCATCGTTATATTTAGTTAATCAAATCAAATATATAATTTAATGCGTACCTATGCGTTGTTTTTTTGGATAGGGATCTCAACAGTATTATTTACGTAATAATAATAGCGTTTTCGGAGCGCGAGCATTGAAGCTGCCAAGTGAGATCTTGGCGACACGTTTGCAGGATTCCAGTAAGAGTTCAACAAGGGAATGGATGATATCCCGGAATATTTTTTCAACATCAAGGTACTCGTCTGACGCATATTTATTTATTTTTTCTACTCCCGTCTGTAAAATACCTAATTACGCACCGATCTAGCCTACGGGAAGCGTCACTTTACCATGTTACTTTCGTTTCCGACGAATCCGAGCCACTTCGGACATTTCCGGGATTTTACCGCACGGGTTTGAGAGGAATCGGATGTTTTCGAGTGAGTGAGTGAGTCAAATGCCGTTTTACCGCACTTGTTGCATAATATACTATTTTCGAGCCAATATTAAGTAAGAAAATGATTTACATAAAAATGTAAAGTCTTATAAAATAAAACCTGTTGCATACTATATTTTTTCTACGACCGTTAGTACTTTGTGAGTTGATTTTTGCAAAACAACAATTACATTCCCTCAGTGACGTTCGACATGACAGTGAGAACTGACAAACGTCAAAATTCAAGCCGTGGATATTATTTTCGAAAACATCCGATTGCCCCCAAATCCGTGGGTAGTTAGTAATCCGATCGATTAAGGGAGTAGAAAAAACGTCTGCTGACATCATTTTCGTGTAAACTACGATTTTTTGGCCTAATATTAGTTAGACGGTTAACAAAGGTTCTACCAGACTCTGACGTCATTTTCATGTTATTACGTTTTTGTGGTCTAATATTAGGTCAGAAAATGTCTGGACGGTTTTAAAAAAGTTCAAAAATTTGTCTCAAACCTAATACATTCTATATTAATAAATTTGAATCATATTTCGTTCTGGTCTGCTGTTGTTTGGATGGCTTGACTTACTATCTCATTATCGATCTTCCCTGAATTGGCTAGAAAATGCTCATATCGACTAATTTTCAAGTTAAATCTTAAGCGTTGGATACTTCGAAAACGTTCATTCCGAAAACGGATGACCGTTTTAATCGTCATGTTGGTCGATTAACAAGCAACCCATGATAAATACACCATGTCCATTGTGAAATCGTCCGTTAAAAAAGGGGGCGAGATTAATTTTTATTTAATAAACCATGCGGGAGCTCGGTTTAGGTAAATCTAGGCCAACAAAACCATAAAAACGAGCCTTTTGTGTTCCACTCAAAGGGACAGGCGTACGTTGTAACCCGATAGGGGTTTTTGTGCAGCGGGTTATGACGAAGGTACTCAAAAACATATTTTATCCAGCAGCAGGCATTAACGTTGAAGAAAATCATTGTAAACGAGTTTTACCTGGTCGGTGGAAGAGCGCTCGAAACGGAGACTGAAGTTCCAAGCCAAATTCGTCTTTTAATTATTCATATAACTACTAGACATACAGAGGCCCTGCCTGTGCTGACAGTACAGGAACTCATAAAGCAACTATGGAAAATTTGGCAGCTCTAATGGCAAATTCTGACGTTGGACCCATAAGACCTTGGGGCTTTCGAAAAACAATATGGCCGCTGACAGATCGTCCATGTTTGGATGCGGTATTTGTACTGCAGTATTTTCTCAAAATATGTCGAAATCCTATTGAATTTTCAGTTAAGTGTTGAAAACACAAATTATACAAGTTTGTGAGTGCGATACGGAGATATTGATACCAAAAATGAAAACGACGATGGCACAGGGCACAGACTGTTCTGAAACAACAGTAATTACATCCCTCGGGGTTGCCAATTATGTTCTCATTTCAGAGGTGGATATTGCGTTCTTATAAAAATGCATGAATTTTCCACAAAAATTACGGCAATATAGCAGAAACAGTTGGGGAGCGACGCACGCGCAAATGATTCAATTTTTACAGTAGTAGGCCCGCTATGTTATCTCATGGTTGTATGGAATTACTATTAACTCCCACAAAATTAATTTATTAAAATGTTTCTCGGTTTTGTGGTACGTGTTATCACTACCGAAATTGTTTTGGAACGTTTTCGTCGTCAAGAATCAGACTACGCGAGCACAAGAAATTTGAAAGAGTAACTTAATTATCTAACTACAGAAGTTTTCTCCGAATTAGCAAAAAATGACTTGAAATTTAGCGAATTTTTTGTTGGGCTGGACTAACCCTCCAACAGCCCCCTCGTCCTATGGATAACTATTGTAAATTGTAAATTAAAAATTCAATGAAATTAAAGTAACAAATTGTTAAACACTGCAAAGAAAAATAAAACAAAAATATTTCCTTTTGTTAACGATGGTCTGTTTTCATTTTCAGATAAGGAGTCAGTGTACGTCCTTCAAGCGCTAATCTAATGACATATACATCGCTAAACGTCGGCACTACCCAGCACCTCACAAAGCTGACGAATTTTTGGTGGTAAGTATTTTCTTTCCCGTCACCGAATTAAAAACTAGAACTAGAGTAACACCGTTTACAGAAGACTGCTCTACTGCTCTTTGTTGTCCGCGCCCTCTACAAGACCAACTTCTAATTAACTAATATGGTATCTATTAACGAAAGCAACGCATATCCAACGGGCACATATTAATAACATTAAACGACAGGGTCGGTAATACAAAAAGACACCTAAATAGATATATTTTCCTAAATTTCATATACGGTTTTGTAAGCAAATTCCGGGTTAAATAAAATAAATCTAATAATCGGAGTAGTTTGATCTAATTCTTTCTATAGGAAATTTTCGTCTGTGCTCGCTTGGTTAAGATTAATTAGCATCGAGAATAATTGTTTTTCTGTTTCATGACGTAATTATGTTAAAATTCGCTTCAAAATCTTGTAATTGTAACTGGCAGACTCGACAATAGGTTTGAAGACAGTGGTAGCCTATGTTGTTTCATTTTGAAAGTTGAGCAACTATTTGTGTATTAAGAAGTTGTAAAAAAACATCTTTTTTTACATGCAGTCGTTTTTTTCGAAAACTTTTTCATACAAAAGTGAAAATACATATAAAATGGGCTGGATTTGAGTGAATCTTGGACAAAAAATGTATGGCAGCAGCCATAAAAGAAGCCCAAATATGATCTTCCTCAAACTTACTGTGGTGTCTGGTAGAGTTCCCCGAACGATATACCGTTTTTACGACATAATCCGGTATTCTTTGTTAAATTTTTATGCAGGCCTATCTCGCTTGTAAACCTCATTAAATAGATCCACAATTCTACAAAGACGTTTCAGACGGTACTTCGTGCATACAAATGCCGAAAGCTGACGGATTTGTGTAGAGTTTCATCACTGAGATTCCTCGATTATTATTAGACCATGCAGTGGAAAATCCGCTTTACAACACGCGGGTCATAAACTCATTCCGAAGTCAAAACCGTAAAAGGTTGTAAAAACGGTATATCCTTTGGAAAAGTCTACTAGGTGGATGTTTCTCTGCAAATCACCTCTAATACTAATCTAGTTGGAGCGGGTTCACGTCGCATTTGATTTAATTGTTTTTCTCAATTTTACCGAAACAATTTCGAAGGTTTCTGCGCGACCGTAAAACAACGTTTTTGCCGCAATGAAGCGCGTCGTAAAATCAACGTTAAGTGACGCCGTTTCGCGGGTTAATAAACAATGATTCATTTTACGATACGAGGGGGGTGGGGGGAATGTCGTAAAGTTTATATACGGTGCTGGTTTTCATCCGAAATATAACCATTTCGGACGGAAGGGTACGGTTCTCGACAAAATTCCGACGAAAGTCGTAAAAATCTCATTTCGTGTTAAAATGTCGCGCGAAAACAAATGACCGATTTAAAGCAGAAGCGTGTCCCAAGTTTCTAAAGAGAGAGAGAGAGAGAGAGAGGCCAGCATTGGACGCAAATCTTTTTAATGCACACACAGCTTCTTAACGACACTGTCCAATAACAAAAACTAAAGGAGTGTTAATAAAACAAAGGTTTACAAGGTTCTATACAGTGAAACCTCTTTAGTCCGAACACCTAATTGTAAGGTCCAATTCTGATTATTAAATTCTTCGGATTAACGAATATACAATAAAAAAAAATCTATATATATATACCAGCTCCAGTTAATGCGTCGCTGATTGCTTTCGATACCCATGTTTCGATCTCTCGATTCGTTGAGTTCTGGTCAAGTTTTTTACCTAACTCTCAAATCTCTTCCAGATCATTTTGAATCTCTCCGGATTCTCAATCTCGAATTTGTCTTACTAAGCGCGCTAACGAAATGTCGTCTTCTTCATCACTACCATCAACATTTGAAAGCAAAATTTTACTCCAAGACTTTGTAGTTAAGCCAGTACCCGCATTTTGCCAAGCCTCTTTCTAAGAGAAAACAACGTCCTTCAGTGTTATATCATTAAATGCTTGCGGAATATCAGTCGCAATAATTTGTTGGAGCAACTTCTTACGATAAAATAGTTTTATAGCCTGTATAACATGTTGGTCCATTTGCTGTATCCATGGCGTACAATTTGGGGGAAGAAAAAGCACAGAAATGTTATTATCATCGCTATACAATTGAGTTGTGTGTCCAGGTTCATTATCCAATATTAGAATTGGACTAAGGTTAACTTCTTTCATTTAATATATTACTGATGGAACAAACTCACCGTGAAACCACTTAGTGAAAATTTCTCTCGTTACTCAAGCTCTGCGTCGATCTTTGTACGAAAGGAATGTTAACATTTCTAAAAGCACGGGGTTTCATACTTTTACCAACAATGTTGCAATAAGGCATAAAAGTGCTTCGTTCTTTGCTAACTTTTCGTCCTGTAGCAAATTTTTCTCCTGAATTTGCTAAGGTTTTGCTTAGAAGAACTCCCCATAAAAGCACACTTCCATCAGCATTATATACTTGGTGGGGAGTTGTTTTTTTTCTTCCATTATACCAGCAAACTTCCACAAATGGCAAGACTGCATCGTAGTCGCTTGAAAGTGATTTTCCACAAACTGTTAACTGGCGGATACCAAATCTTTTCTTGAATTGATGAAGCCATCCTAAACTTGCTGCAATATCTTTTTTTTTGTTATTTTTGTGAAAATCTGAACTTTTAGTTCTTATTTATTTCCATTTAAATTAAATATAGTGTTTTTTTTTTCTTGTTTCAAAATATGTTTTTACACATTACTCTTTTATGATTCCGTTCTCTCCAGGGGAGGTTTATGTCTTTCTTGCATAATGCATATTTTTACATCAACAAACTTTTTCGGTGCGACACGGTTGGAATTTTATTTTCGAAGGTAGAAAACGTAAGAATTTCGTAACGGTTCAAGTGCTAAAAAAAAACAAATTAGTGGAATATATATCATCCATGCCCTAAAAATAATGCACGTATTTAGTTACTAAACGCTAGTGAAAAAAAAAAACTCAACGTTCCGTAAAAAAGGCAACAAGGGGTCGAGAGTTTTTTCAATCGACGTGACCAATTTACATTCAGCGGCGTGGTAATGAGTTAATATTTACGTAATTTGATAATTCCTTTTGATAAGAGTTAAAATATGACTCTATAAATGTTGCCAACGGGGTAAAACCCGATGTATGTAGTTCGACGATTTATGAGCCTCGGTCACGATTTTGAATATTTAACGCATTTGTTCGCGATTTATAAACGATGTTGTAGAAAACTTTCCTTAAACAACAAAATACAAAAAATAAATAATTCGACCGTATGTCAACGATGAACGAAATCAAGAAACGATGTATCTCAAAAATCCGCGCATATTCGGCGACCATATAAATACGTAAATAAATATGGACAAGACAAAATTAATTAAAATCATACCCTTCAGATGATTTTAAATCGCAGCTCTTGTGATTTTAATTAAAAAAATAGTCGCTCTACAAAGGCTAATATACTTATTTGAGAATCTTACTCGCAGCTCAGATATTTGTTCAGTTCAGCGATAGGGAACTGTCCGTCGTTCCCATAATTCAGCTCAATTTAAATGCCGCGCCAGCTAGAACGCGTCCAACTTAGATCGGTGACATAAACATAACTTTCTACTTGCAATATTTCTGCGTAATTTTCTTATATATAGTTCAATTTTTCCCATTTAACTGCTTTTTGTTAGTTTTTTTTTTTTGGTCCAATTACGCCTTCATTTTTTTCTTTTATTTTACTTTGTATTTTTTTTGCATTCCTATTGTTATAAATTAATTAATGATTGCGGACGCCCGCGAACCCGAAGCCTGTGGGGGTGCATAATTCATGTTTAATCGAGCAGTTTCCTTTTTATACTAATTTTTTTTGGAGCCATATTTGTGCAACTTCCTTGTAGACATAACAAAAATCAATTACAATATTCAAAATCAACCGACAGGCCACTGCTGGGGGACGAAGACATTCGCTGATTGCCTCCAAACAATACCAATCCCAATATAAATCAGAACTAAAAGTTCAGATTTTCATGACAATTGTTTCGACAACACCGTGTCTTTATCAAATGTTCATAATATATAATTTCGTGAAAATCTGAACTTTTGGTTCTTATTTATTTTGATAAATAGATTTTCATCAAGTAAAAGTCACCTCAGCTCAATACCAATCCTCACGTGCTGTCCCATTCTATCAATTCTATGTAGGTCCTAAAAAACTTCGGTTTCTGATTTAGATATTACGTTGGAATTTGGTAGGGTCGCACTATGTATGGAAACTTTTCTAAGGCACATTCGATATAAGTAACTTTTAAAAAAATAATAACTTTTTTTTTAATTGCAAATCATTTCTTCGTAAAACAGTTTTCAGCGAAAATAATTTCAAGATAATCGTATTGTACTATTTAGTATGAAATACGAGCATTAAACGATCTGAGCATTGTTTCTATGCATTGTGGGCTTCAATCAATAAAATCAGCAAAATATGCATCTAAGGCTGTTTCAATGAAAATAAGGTTTTTTATATAAACTGTTTTCCTTATTATCATCACACGCTTAAGGATCAGCATCTTATTATGAAACAGCCCGTATATCTATATTCAGACGTATTGTGTTTAGGTTTTTATTTATTATTATTATAAAATAAAAAAAAATGTTGGAGGCTATCTCGTGCGCCGCGATTCTCATATATTTACAATAGCAGGATATTAATGCCCGTTTTCTTCTCGCTTAAAAAGTATTCGTTTCAGGTGCGGGATTACCCGCGCGGTCGCGTTGGACGCGTGTCGAACAGGTTACAAACGCTGGGTTTTAAAATATGCGCCATTACCCCAAATCCGATTAAGCAAATCACGTTTTACACGGCCGTATTTATTATTCTTTCTTCTTCGGTGTCCCCCTCGATGAAAGATTACTACGCGGATTCACGTTCGGTAAATTAATGGCCGACATATAAAACGTATACGCATCGCTAATTTGCAGATGTTTAAAAAAAAGTATGCTCGATTGATAAAATCTCCGATACAAAA